CATGGAGCCGAAGATCGGCTCGAGATCGAGAGGCTTCCAAAATGCCCACGCCACGACAGTGCAGTTGTGACGCCCAAGGCCAGGACCTGTGACAGAGTTCATCCTCGGCTGCTCTCGTGTCAGCTCTGAGATCTGTAGGGTCCTCAGCTGGGGAGGATACCGGAAGCGGATGATGTACCATGCAGCCAGCAAGAGGATACCACAGTAAGGGATGGTGAGGCACAACCAGCCCATGAAGGAGACAGGGTTTCCTGTCACGCTGCACCAGTTGAACGCGATGACGTTCTGAGGAGAAGCGGGGGCGGGGGGAGGACAAAGGGAGGAGAACACGAATCAGAACAAGGACGAGGACGAGGAGGGGAGGAAGAGCGGGAGGAGGAAATGGAGGAAGAGGAGTGAGGGGGGCTGGGAGGAGTAAGTGGGGTAGAGGAGGATGCAAGGAGGAGGAGGAAGGGAAAGGAAGGGGGGAGGAGGAGGAAGGAAAAGGGCAGGGAGGAGAGGAAGGGATCTATCGATCGAGGGCAAGTAGCGCCCAGGTCGCGGCATTCTCCGTATCCTCGTCATTAGCAAGCCTGACGATCAGCTCCAAGCTCATCCTCAGCTCCTGCACTTGAAGTCATGCCTCCTCCTCCTCCTCCTCCTCCTCCTCCTCCTCCTCCTCCTCCTCCTCCTCCACTATCTCAACTTTTCCGCCTCCTCTTACCCGCACAGGGATGAGGCGAGCATGTCTGAAGGATAAACTTGACTTTCCGTCAAAGCCGATACATGAAACGAGGACGAGGACGAGGAAGAGGACGAGGACGAGGACGAGGACGAGGACGAGGACGAGGAAGAGGTCTGTTTGTACGGTAGGAGGAAGGGGAAGGTGGACATTCTCTACCTCCTCAAACTCCAGCATGCTCGAGCTGCTGTTGAATTCTGCTCCTCCTCCCACCACTCCCTTGTCCAGGTCACCTACGAGGAATTTTTCATCCGCCCCGCACCCATGTAACATTTGATCCCTCCCTCTCTTCCCTCCCTCCGTCTACCCGTCTTCCTTCTATCCCTTCCCTACATCCCTCCTCCTTCGCCTCCTCTTCTCTCTCTCCTCCCTCCCTCCTCCCTCCCTCCTCTCTCCCTCCTCCCTCCCTCCTCGCTCCCTCCTCTCTCCGTCCTCTCTCCGTCCTCTCTCCGTCCTCCCTCCCTCCTCCCTCCCCTCCCGTTCCCTTGCCCTCGTTCCCCTCCGTCCTCTCCCGTTGCCCTCCCAACACTTACATGCGCCTCTTCGACATCCTCCCCTATCTCTGGTTTCTTAGCATCTGGGGTGCGAATAGCGGCAGGTGGCAGCGCTTGGCCAGCCTGACCCTTGCCCTTCTCCGAGTCCTCTGCCTCTCTCTCCCTCCTCCTCTCCTCCTCCTCCTCCTCCTCCTCCTCCTCCTCCCTCCTGCGGGAGTTCTCCTCCTCTACGTTGATCTTCATGGCGGAGGTGATCATGTTTGCACCTTCCTGTCCGTCCGGGATTTGGTCCTCAGTGCTGAGGATGTGGACAACTCGATTGTCCTAGTGCAACACGTGTCAAGGAGTAGCGCACTGATGTGATGTAGAATCCTTGCCGTCATTCTCATCATCATCGTCATCGTCATCGTCATCGTCATCGTCATCGTCATCGTCATCGTCATCGTCATCGTCATCATCATCATCATCATCGTCGTCGTCGTCGTCGTCATCATCATCATCATCATCATCGTCGTCGTCGTCGTCGTCATCATCATCATCATCATCATCATCGTCGTCGTCGTCGTCGTCATCATCATCATCATCATCATCATCATACCTCCTCATCGTCGCTAGATTCATCACTCGAAGCCCAAGTGAGATCCATGATGTTG